GGAGAAATTTTGAGTTTTTCCCCCCAATAAATGGCAGGAAAACAAACGGAAGGCTGTAGAATTTTTATCTTGGTTGTGAATATCTTGAATTCTAAAGGAAGCTAGAAGCACATCAGTTTTCTTCTCAACTCATGTAATAATAATAATAATAATATTTAATGCTTGATATTGCGCATTCTAACATTCTAGATATGATCAAAAATTTGCTACGAATAATTAAAACTAACCTTGGAAAACAGCAACTCTACATTTTGTGGGCTTCTTAGTTTTTTTCACCTGTGSTTCGTCAACTAGTGAATTTAAGTTTTCATCATTGATGTCGGCAAATCGGGGCTTTGTGGTTGGATTTTCGCCGTCTTGGACTGTTAGGCTTGTTATCGTTGCAATTACCTGAAGCTTCAGCTTCTAAGTTGAGAGACACATCAAAGAGTAGAAAGTCTCTTTCCATTTTCCTCAAAGTTTGAAGTAAGAATATAGTGGAAGATTATGAAAACGTTTTTGTAAAAAAGGTGTCAATCAAAAACCATGTCTTTATCGGCCAAATAGAGCATAGATTTTCAGCCATTCAGAGTGGGAGTACTATATAAGCTATATTATAAAACGGTATAAAGTCAACAAGCGAAATACACGAAGTTAATATGATGCCAAATAACAACATCACCGAAGAACATGTGATTGACTTAGTGAACAGGCTACATGAACAACCTAGTCTGACAGGGAACTAAATATTTTGAAAGGATCCAAAATAAAACTATTATTCATTGGCAACTGCAACTTCTTTTTGTTCTAAAATCAGTCACCAGTAGTGTTTCTCCTCCATTCAAATGTTGAATGTGCCAATTTAGCAGTGGATTCTGGAAAAGATAAAAAGAAATTTCCCATCTGAAGACCCTCTTTTTCAGGCCAAAATGCTGCATATTCCTCAAGATTTAAACCAATGCCATTGCGTTTTGGTTTCACAGTTTCTTCAATATGTTCATCAGTATTCCTCAAGCAAAAGTTATTTTTTGTTATTTATTAGCAAAATATCACTTTTATTGTTGCTCGCTCCTTTTYCCCCGTGAAACCCATCAAAGATACGCAGGTAGTGATCAATTCCACGTACATCATAGACTTCTCAATTCTTGTCATGCTTCTCTTCTGCAACTTGGAGCTAACGACAATATTTGGCTTGTGAGCCATAGACAATAGGATGTTAATATAATCTTGCGAAGTTCAATGTGTAAATAACACCATGTGGGCAAGTCCCAGACACCCAACCACCTGAACACCACAAACTAATCCGTTTCTGTTTACCAATAATTATAATACCTTTAATAGGCAGCAAAATGAATAGAACTAGTAATATGACTTAAGTGCAAAGAAGGTAAATGCAACATATCTTCCAACCGAACACAGGCAAACTGCAAATATAAAGACAAAAAAAATAGTGCATTAAAGCCACAGCAGCAAGAAAAACAAAGGTTTCATAACTCCAGAAGACCAGAGCAAGAAGAATTACAGCAATAAGGTCAAAAGATTCAAACAGCAATAAATACATCAGTAAAAGGTAACAGCAATCATTTTCCCCCCCAAATTTTGAATCGATAAATATTAAAGTCCTTGTTTCAAATGAAATAAAATGCTCTGATTACCATAGTAAATGATTATCTTTCCCATAGTAATCGTATGACTATCCACATGACGTCAGTAGGAATCCTACAGCATTAACCAATAGAGTACCAGCATTTTCTTATGTGTCATTTATTTACAGAGAGCGACACGAGTGATAAAAATTATATAACTTACACTTATTACCCAGATCACTTAATAGTTCCTATTATGAGTAAATCATGTTGTGTTTCTGCAGCATTGCTGTGTTCAGGTAATGTGGGAATGTTTGCAGTAAAGCGTTCAAGTTTGGATGAAATATCAGAAAGTGCATTGACAATATCTTGCTGTGAAGATAAAGGCATTACTGGTGGATGACGTGATGCACGTGGCTATTGTGAGAAAATTACGGAATTCATAGAGAGGTAGCTATTGATAATGGATGATGTGGATAATGCACCTGTTGTCATTTGTTCTTTGACTTTAGCAATAACTTAATTTGTGGACAATTTCTTCAGATATGAAGTGAATATTCCTTCCTATGAAAAATTGAAAAGTGAACATAAAAAAGAGGATTATAAATGCTAATTAAAATAAGAAAAAGTAAAAAGTATACAGGCAGTCCCACGCGAGAGGAACCAAAAAAAAAAAAAGATTTTTAAAAACAACACTTAAAAAATAGATTAATGATACATAACATGCTTATTGCACCAAACACTCCTATAAGATAATGTACCATCCTTAACTGTAAATATATGTGACATTTCTAATTTTTTTTTTTTATTACTATTATGTAGTTTAGTGTTCATAAAATAAAGAGATGTCAAGTCCATGAATACACTGTGTCAAGCTTTAAATACCTTTTCAATGGCAGACTTCCATGGGACTTGAAATGGACCTTTTCCCTGAAGCTGTAAAGGGCCAAAGAAGATGCAAGAGGTATGGGGGCTGTGAATATCATCCCTTCTTGGCCAGTCAAAGGGCTGGTCACCAACTCGGTGAAGGAACTTGAATTTTACAAAATGACCATTTGAGTCAAGCACTCTGACAATGTAAAAGCTAGACACAAAGTCAACAGCATGATATTCATCCTGCTGAATACCCTTTGGTGGTATTGGGTGCAGCATGTTGAAGCACAACTCGGAGATCATTAACTTCCGAAAGACAGGAAAGCTTGTATTAGGTACTATCTTGGTTTTGTGAAACAGACATCGTGTTAAGAGGCGCACAAAAACCCCATAATCATAAGCATTCTTCTGTTGTGGTATTTCAGTGGCCTTATTTGCATTAAACGTCTGCTTCTGGATGTCAATTGCATTGTTCGCAGCTTGTAGAAGTCCCATAATCTTTTCAACTGAATGCTGCCATGCTGGTTTCACACAGGATCCAGCCAAAATATCAAGAACCACAATGCATTGTTGCTTGGGATTAACAACAAGGAGAAACCAGTGTAGGGAACCTTGTGTATAGCAAGGAATGATAATCAGATCTTGTTCAAGAAGCTTTTCTTTACCTTGCAGGATGGTATCAACTGGCCTGGGTCCCACACTTCTCTCAAACTCTTCCCATGACAAAACCTCTTCTTTGATGGATTGATGAGTTACTGGCTTCATTGTAGCTGTCATCAGATAATTCCTCAAAATGACCACTGATGCCACTTGCATCTTCACTCTCTGTGTCCGTATGAGAACTGTCAGGTGAGCTTTGTAACTGCTTGGATCGAGAATTGAAAGCTGACTGGAATAGAGAGGACAGGTTTTGAGACCTTTCAGTGTTGGCTCAATACAATGGAATCTCTTTATTCCTGTAATAGGTTTTGCTTCTCTGAAACACTTATCGAGTGCCAGCCTTTTGCTTGATTGGAGGATGTCTACCTTTAAACAGAGGGTGATTTTAATAGACTTACAGAAATTCTCAGCAGCTTCTGCAAACTCCTTGGCATTCAAAACAGTTGATACGTTTCTGGTTAACACTGCATTCGATACCACTCTCTTTACTGTATCTCCTAAGCCATCCACAACTCCCTTTCCATGGGAAGTAGCGAAGAAATGCCATTTGATGTTTAATCCTTTTCTTCGAAGGATGCTGTAAAAACTTGGCATATATTTATTCTTAAACTGGGAGCTTGGGCCATCAGAGAAGATATGTACTTGTCCTTGAAATATGAAGCTTATTAATGCATAAACCTGTCGTTGGAGCAAGCTTGGCAAATGTTTGAACAAATTAGAAGATTTTCCATCCCATTTGTCAAACCGCTCCCACTCTATACAAACAGTGTTAGTGCCTGTTGTGGCACTCTTTGAAGCAATATGCTTCAGATCTAAATCTATGACAAAGTTTGTCAAATAGTTATCTTCAGGCATATGGTTGTGCCCTTATGAGGCAACAAATATCTCTTTTATCCAGGATGTTCTTGTGAACTTGTTTTTAAACTGTGAGCTCACACCATCACTCCAGCAACGCACTTTTTCAACTTCAAGAACAAACTGTCTTACGTCTTCTAGCAGTAACTTGTTAAAGGCATAGATACTTGGTTTTGGGTGGTTTAAATCATCGGAAACAAAAGCATAACACTTATGTCCCATATCTGCTCCATCCTTAACTCTGTAATAAACTATTACAGGGAAGATTACAGGCATGATTTTATCTTGCTTTGTTATCTGCTATTTTATCTTTTTTAAGTATTTAAGCTCACTGTACTTCCTTTTGATATTATAAACATGTCGGCTGAAGGACTTGAATTGTTCTCTGAGGTCATCAATAGCATCCTGCACTGTTGATTGAACCATTCTCTTTGTCAATTTTCTGGAATTGGTGGAAGGAGGATCACATACTGTATTCTTGACAAATTCTTCACTTCGATTTGGAAGGTCTTTAAGATGGCCAGATGTACACAGCCCTAAGAGCAGAAGATCAAATATTCTCACGGTACATGCAGGCGCATACTTGTTGATCTTGAGCTGTCATTGGCTGTACCTGAGGAGGTCAAAGCTGTGAAAATTTAAGCGTGGTTTTCACTAGCGACATAAGCATAAGCACAAGCATAAGCGAATGAGGACGGGGCTGACATAAGCATAAGAGTTTGAGCATGCGTACAAGGTGTGCAAGCTTATTATTTCGGTACCAGGCTTTCTCTAACGTTAAAAACAAGATGGTGGAAAAGTTGTCAGTGGAAGAACCTTAGATGTTATCCCAGAATAAGACGTTTCACTCCTATTTTCCTCACTATCATTTATTACTTCAGCTTCAACAAGATTACTTGCAGAGACACGGGGCTGTATATATGGACCAAGCCAAGACAAATAGGAATTCCCCATTCCGAAATTCAAAGGAAGACTGGTGCCGAATCAACGCCGCTTGGAATTCTGGGGCGGAATTTAGGGACGCAAGATGGCGGCTTGAGAGAAAGTATGGGGAAATACAACTGTTGCGTTCCGAATTGTACAAATAACYGGAGAAATTCTCCTGGGTTGAAGTTCCATGCACTTCCGGGAGATCCTAAGGTTCTTAGGGAATACAAACAGCTGATAAGAAACGATAATCTCAGAGTATTCTCGACGAGCACAAAGATATGCGGTAAACACTTTCCAGAAGGAGAGAGATGTAGTCGTACTCAGTTGCCATCGATATTCACCTGGTCTAAGACCGTACATAAACGACGTGAAATTGTCAAAAATGAAGTACCAAAGAAAATTAAAACACCAGGGAGTTCCACTTCAACAGTTATAGAATCGACAGTGACTTCCATAAACATGGACGATCAACATATCCTCGAAGAAAGAAAGTGTTTACCACATATCTTTGTGCTCGTGAGGTTTTTAAAACTAGTTTTAGCATCCTTCCCTAAATAAACAAATAAACAAAAAGATTCAATTATTTCATTTTTATTATACACAGAGAGATTCCAATACTGATTTTTAACYCTTTCACCAAAGGGATCCCAGCTCAAAAAATACTCCACACAACAGAAAACCAGCAAAATTTAACCCCTTTTATTCAAACTGATATTTAAGCATGAAGGAGTTATTTTCATTAATAGGAACCCCATATTCAAATGAAAGGTTTGGAAGTGTACTTTCTATTCATGGTGTTGGTTCGGCAAATGAGCATCTCTGACATGAGATTGAGGCTGTCAATGTTACATTTTATTGAAAAAATCACAGGGACATAAAAAATGCCAAATATGTCAAGTTAAAAATCACTTCTTTTAAAGAAATCAATTAAAAAACACTTCTTCTAAGTATTTTATAAATAGTTTATATAAATAATGGGCTTTCATGAAGATAAAGGTTTAAAAATGTGTAAATATTTACAAACGTGTTCTTAGTATGCATTGCGATGGGTTGGCTAGAACGTAGGTTTGCTGTAGAAGTTTTCAAATTATATGACAAGGCATTTTTTGATATAAAAAATGTCAGTCCAAGAACTATGGTTAATCAGATATTTCTGTCAGCATTACATATGAAAGTTCGGTGCCTACAACCTACAATTTGGAAAGAGTAGCCATTATCCGGAATGAATTGACAGGAAGGATGGATTACTCTTTCCAATATTCTACCTTGGTATGCCATACTCTGAAACAGTTGAGTTCCCTGCTGATGCACAAATACACTTTACAGCAGTCACACATGAATGTTGTCTTGGTTAATTTATGAGRAACCTCTCTCTYTGGGACATCTGGGTGAGAAGCCATGTACCGGCGCCTTCTCTCAGTGCAGACTTGACAGGTGTGGTCACAGCCAATACCCTTGACAGGAAGATGGTCTCCAACATTGTCAAGTCTGAAGGGGTTTGCCTGCCTTTTCCTTCCAGGTCTCAACCTTTGCATCCTCCAATTCCCAACCAGCTGCAGTATTAACTCCTCTCTAAAGGTTGCAAAGGATCTCTTTCTCTTTCCAGGGGGGGTATGATCTACAAAAAACCCTTCARTGACGTAGGAGTTAAAAGCCACAGCCTCAAGGAATTTCATAACTAGTCGCATGTACCAGCGCATTTGCCTCCTATTCTTCATAACAATTGTGAGTTGATCATTACTATCTACTCCACCCATGTTAGAATTATAGTCCTCTATCATGGAATGCGCTTGTACATCAACCAAATCATATCCACCACCCCGTCGTCTTTGGTTTCGCTGAAGTGTAGTTACTTGATCTGGAGAATGAATGGAGGACAAGAAATGGACTAATTTGTTGTCTTTCCAGCTAAGGGCAACAATGCCATGATAACTCCTATGTTCAAAGCTGCCTCGTGGTCCCATCGTCGATGCTTTGAGATTTTTCAAAGCTGGTGGAAACCCTTTTCTGTTGGAGCGAACAGTACCACAAACATAAATACTACGTGGCTGCAAATAAAGGCACAAGGCAAGACTGTTGTAAAAATTGTCAATGTATAAATAGTGT